GGAAGTAAGGGATCTCGAGACTGTGGTGCACGCGCTGGTAACCTCATGACTTAATTTCTGTAATGCACTCTCCATGGGGCTACCCTTGTGCTTGGTTCGGAAATTACAACTGGTACAGAACATGGCAGCCAGGCTTGTTTCGGGAACATCTTGGAGGGACCACATTACTCCGGTTCTGAGGTCCCTCCACTGGCTGCCTATCAGCTTCCGGGCCAGGTACAAGGTGTTGGTTATCACCTTTAAAGCCCTAAATGGCTTGGGTCCAAACTATCTCAGGGACCGCCTTCTCCCATACAATCCTCCCCGCGCTCTCCGGTCCTCCGGGAGGAATTTGCTGCAACCCCAAAAATCAAGGCTTGCGGCTACCTCCCGGAGGGCTTTTTCAGTCGCCGCCCCTAGACTCTGGAATGACCTGCCAGGCGAGATCCATCAATTAACATCATTCCGGCAGGCCTTTCCAGATTAATTATCCTGGCCTCGGGTACAAAAAACCCCCCTCCCCAGTGATCCTTGCATGGCCCCATCAAAAGATGGTTGCTGGGCTTTATACTGGGTTAAGTTTTGGTTTTATTAAGTGAATGTTATTTTAAAATCTTTCTGATTTAATACTGTTTTAAGGGGGGTGGGGGTTTACTGTATTGTATATGTTTTTATGGGCATTGTATATGTTTTTATTATTGTAAGCTGCCCAGATTGGATTTCCAGAGGGTGGGATATAAATAAAATTTTATTATTATTATATTATTATTATTTCTTGGAAGTTACATGATAGATGCATATTAGGCACGGGTTGCTATAGAAACATAAAGAGAAGCAGAATGTGGAAATTGGGAGCAGCATGCTATTTAGAAGTAAGGCAGATAAATACCTGGCAGGTGATAAATTGTATACTTGATGTGTTAAATTGCTGCTGAACTGTACTAGATACAATGAGGAAGCAGCACCCTCTTAAGGTCCTTCACACACTAAGGGTAAATATTAGAGTTGGAACTGTGGCCATGCCATTTCATCATTAAAAAAATGAATTAATGTGAACTCTGAATGTGACTGTTTTCTTCTTCCTTCCACAACTCCTTCCTCCTTTTCTCTCTTTCTACAGAATTAGATTTATGTGGACAGTAGGATATGTAATCATATGCTCCACTCCAGCAAAATGGACAAAAGCTGCAGATACTACTCAGAGAATGAGGAGAGAATGACCTATTAGCTGTTCTGGGATGACCACTACTGTGCTACCATCAGTAACATCTGAAACAGGCATGTACCAAATAACTTACGACCCCACCTCAAGCCCTTTCCAAGGGCAGGGGTCAAAAGCAAGACCAAAGAATGCTCTCACCTACGACATATGATTTTGCTGTGCATTTTGCTGTTGCTGCTGAATTAACAGCTGTTGCTGTTGTCTGCGTCGTGCTGTCCTCAGTTTTTCAAAGCGAGCCTCCATCTCATCCAGCACTTTCGGAGTGTAGCGTACCACCAGCTTGACACTGTCCTTAGCAGCCTTCAGAAGCTCCACAGCTTTTTCATGATGTTCTCCTTCCACACTCTGAGAAAAGAAGAATAATATTTAAAAAGTGCAAACAACATGATTTTTTGAGCTTATGAGTAAGAACTTGGGATTGCAAGCTGCCTTTGTCCTACCTGTCCTTGGACTGTAGCAATTCTCAGTCCAAGGGAGAGTAAGAATGCATAACAGCAGAATTCTGGGTTAGGGTGAAAAACACCAAGCCTGCAGCCTGATAACGTGAGAATGAAATAAATCTCTCTCCTGAACAAATGCAACACCACTGAAGAAGTCAAAAGGCAAAATGATAATCCAAAGTTCCTTTTTTTATCAAAGAAAACAAAATGTTTAACAGCAGCCTTGTACTGAAATTGTGAATATATTTACGGTAGTTGGCAGTAGTTTCCACTTGCTTCAATGGCACTCATTGCTAAGCAATATTCTTAGAAAACCTCCTTATGAGTATAATGACTGTGTGAGGAGGCTGAAGGAAAGTAACCACTGCCCATGCCCCTTATACAATGATATGCCCAATGGATGTGTGTCCTGTAATATACAAAACTCTCAGGAGTTGATATTGTCAGCTACTTCGTATGGCCCATACAATTTAATAGGGGTGGGCAAAATGCTGGCATATTTTTCTCTGATCAATATCCTTGGGGAAGGATATAGTCATATATCTCTATGCATGCAGACATTTCATGAGATCTGGAAAGTTGAGTTTTATTTCACAGTGAAAATCTTCTGTGTATGAGTTTCTCTCTGCTCAAATGTCCACATTCGGTGCTGGGAGTGGGACAAAAGTGGGGAGACTTGGTTTTGGAGGTAGGTACAGAAGTGCTGCCTTGCTACATGGACAAAACCCTCTTCACATATATAATATATGAAGGAGATTACAAAATTCCTAGCTTTGCTATGCCAATTTAAGTTTTGTTCCGTGAATGAGTAAATTGGGGCTGTAATTCATTCCTAAATAAACAGAATCAATGATACATTATTGTTCAGCAATTCTCCTTCTGGAGTTCTTCTCAAATAATGGAGACATTTCAGACCAGAAACAGAGTATCTTGTACAAGAATGACCATAAATAAGAAGACAAAATTAGCACTTGACCTTGCTGCAGGCTCTAGACCAGGGGTAGGCAACCTTTCCCCTTTAAGGGCTGAGGGACTTCAGCTCCCAGAAGCCTCAGCCATGTTGGCCAATAGTCCCATGTTGGCCAATAGCTCCTGGGATTCTGGGAGCTGAAGTCCCTCGGCCCTTAAAGGGGAAAGGTTGCCTACCCCTGCTCTAGACTCTGGGCTTTACCTGTATTGAATGGCCTATAATTCCCAATGAGTAGATATTATAGATCAGATGTTAACAAGGACAGCCCTAGTTCTGAAGATCTTAAATGCTATAATAAAAGTGAATAGTTGATTTTTAAAATAAAATTGGCAGTAGTTTTTTTATTAAAAAACTGGACTGCATAGTCTGATGATACTGTACAATATAACATTAGGTTTCTGTAATCCCAATGATTTCTTTAGAAAATGTTTGAAATTCTTTTTTGAATACATAAAGGCTTGTCATTTGTCATCAAGTCAACTTCAACTTATGGTGACCCTATGAATGAGAGATCTCCAACAGCCCTGGTCATCAACTGCCCTGCTCAGGTTTTCCAAGGTCAGGGCTGTGGCCTCCTTGGTTGAATCAATTTACCTGTAGTGTGGCTTCCCTTGTTTCCTACTGACTTCCACTTTACCAAGAAATACTTAGGAGTCATGTTGTCTCTTGATATCATACAGACTAGAGAGATACATATACTTCCCTCCCCCACCCACCCAACTAGGACTTTTTCATTTGCTAGATGGGTCTTGAAGCTCTTTGAATAAGCACAGTTGAGCAAAATCAAAATTAGTGCTAAGTGATCACATACCACTCCATTGACTGAAAGCAGCTGGTCTCCGCGTTTGAGTCCTCCATGCCTCTCAGCAATTCCTCCAGGAATTATGCGAGAAATATAAATAGGAGAGTTTTGTTCCTTTCCTCCCATGACATTGAAGCCAAGGCCTTCATCAGTCTTTGGCAGTTCTACCACTCGAGGGTGAGAATGGCCTTCACTGGCTGCAAAAGCTGCAACGGTTGCCTAGAAGATAATGTACCTCTTTAGCAAACAGGCCACATCTACACTGCACAATTAATGCAGTTTGACAGTGCTTTAACTGCCATGGCTCAA